CACTTTTGAGAATTGCACCATCTAAATCAATAATCCTTCTACACCCTTCTTTTCATCCACTTTTTAAAGAACCAAGATAAATATAAATGCTCGTAAACCACTTTTTAAAGAACCAAGATAAATATAAATGCTCATAAACACCTCTTTTTCTGGAATTGTGTTCTTGGATGTCCTAATAGATACAGTACTTCCAGAATTTGTGGTCTTTAATTCCTCAGCATAATCATACAACCTAGCAAACTCCTCTCTAAAATCTCTCAAATGTTCGTACATAACTCTCAGTTTTGCCTTTCTACAACTTGTCTTACTAATATACAAACCATATTGCTTTTGTGTTAAAAACTGAATCTGTTGTAGTTTGATAGTAGGCTCACTCATAATCTTCTCCTTGTAATGTTTACTAATCCAAATGGGGGTACACAGTTTGTTTCTTGTTCTTTTAAAACACTTGTGGACAGAAAAATATGTTTTAACAATGAAGTTTTCAGTGTTACCATCAATACTTCCAAGAATATGTCAAGGACAACCCGTTTTCTTACACTTTGCCCTTATCCTTTCCTTCTTATTAGGTTTCAATTTAATATTAACACCCTTCTGAATAGAGTAAGTTTGCAATGCCTCTCTAAACTCAATATGATTCAAAAAATCATATACAATTGAAATAAAACCTTTTTAGTAGTTGGATCAAAGTAGATCTTTGTACTTTCCTTCCTAGGTGCTGGATTTACCACTTCATCATTCTCAACAGGATCCCCTTCATCTTCACTAATGTCACTATTAGGATCTGAGCTATCAAAATAAGGGTCATCCCCACCCAAATTGCCTTCAAATTTCCCCATTTTCTTCTTATAAATGGCTTCAAAACCAGCAGCTATACCTATAGGACCAGATAGTATCTCCTCTAGATTTACTCTATCAGCCTTCTCTTTAACTTGTTCTTGAATGTTAGACTACCTAGCTTGAAGCAACTCCTCATCCAAACCACTCAAATCATCAATATTTTCATCAATATCATAGAGTGAATCAGAATCAGAATGTTCTTCAACTCTAAGGGAATGTTCTTCAACTCTAGGGGACTGTTCTTTAACTAAAGGGGACTGCTCTTCAACTATAGGGGACTGGTTTTGATTTAAATGCCTATTTTTATTTTCATTAAATGGTTGAGATGAAGACACATTAGCCCTATCTATTTGTGGGGAGGATGACAGATCAACCCTATTTTTGTGTGGGGAGGATGACAGATTAACCCTATATTTGCGTGGGGAAGAGGACACATCAACATTATTTTTTTGTAGAGAAGAGAACACATCAGCATTATCTTTTTGTGGAGAGGACACATCAGCATTAGTGCTAGACAATACAAGTATTTCCTCAACAGCTAAAGGTATACTAATGGGATGTACAACATATACACCAACAAAATCAGCTGTAACACCCCTAAATACTAACCAAGAGTCGAATGTC